CCCCCCCCCCTCCTTCTGTCTGTGTGTGTGTGTTTGAGTGTGCGTGCATGGGATGGAGGGAAATTTTGAGGGGTGTGGGTGGTGAGTTTGATTGGTCCTTTGCTTGTTTCTGTCAGACAAGCACCAAGAATCTCATGGCGTATGCTTACCTGCAAGTGGTTGGGGACGGTGATTCAGCGAGCAGGCCCTTCAGCATTACTGAGATCGGACAGCTCGTCATTCCTTCAGGCATGTCCTCAGAAAACTTTCCACCAAAACCTAATGTGAGCCATTCTTGGGCATGGAAGCCAGAGAGGAGGTTAATTCTCTGGACTCTAATTTGAGCCCTTTTCAGGCATGCTAGCCTGAATGGTGGTTGCCTCCCTGAACTACCTGTATGTGATGTGCAAGAGCCCAAGATCCTCACAGCAGACAGCAGGCCTCAGTGCCAGGGTTTTGGCCTGGTCATGTTGTCTGAAACTCGGTAGGGCAAGGCCAAAACTGGAAGCCTCCTGAAGGCAGTGCCTACCAGCTGAACAAAGGGCCTGCCAAAGTACTCAAGGAAGGCTGGGATAAGTCAGAGAGCTTGGTCGGAGTGAGTTTGAAGACCAGACAACAAGGCTTTCACGGTCAGCTGCGGTAGAGGGGATCATGCTCTCTGAAACTCAGTAGGGCATGGTAAAAACTGGAAGACTCCTGAAGGCAGTGCCTACCAGCCGAAGGAAGGCCAGGGTAAGTCAGAGGGCCTGCCAAAGTACTTGAGGAAGGCCGGGGTAAGTCAGAGAGGTTGGTCGGAGTGAGTTTGAAGACCAGACCACAGGGCGTTCACGGTCAGCTGCAGTAGAGGGAGGAGTGCCTTCAGCGGGCAGAAAGAAGGATGCGTACAGGCTAATAGGACCCCCAACGAGGGCAGCACACTTTAACAGACCAGTGGCAGCCATGGCTGGGGAGGAAGGCTGGCGGCATAGCAGGTTGGGCGCTGGAGGAGGACTGAGCCATAGCAGGCTGGGCGGTGGGGACGGAGAACACCTTAGCAGGTTGGGTGCTGGGGACGAAGTACGGTGCCATAGAAGTTTGGGCGCTAGGAAGAAGGCTGGCACCAAATCTGTGACCACACTGTCGAGGGTGATGATGGTGGCTCTGCGGGGAGATCCCTTGAAAAGAGGGAAACTGTGGAGAAGGGAAGAGTTGGTGGATACCACATGGTGAATGACAGGTAGAAGCTCCAATGTGTCAGTCGCTTCAAGCAGTCGTATTCGGCATGGCACAGTGTACTGAAGGTTAGAAATTAGAATAGATGATAGAGTAGGTGGTCATTTGGCTTGTACATGCCCAGTGAGGGCAGAGACCCTCTATTGTTGCTGTAATTGATCGTTGGAGGCCAGAAGACGGGGCTTTCATAATCAAGAGACTCGCCAGTGTGAATGCTTATGCTTGTATGATCAGTGGATGTTGGGCGTGTGGAGTTCATAATGCTTGTGATCTGAGCCGACTCCAGAGCAGGGTCCTTTGCAGATGAGATGAGTCGTCGAGTCCCTTGTTTTTTTTTATTTTTTTGGCCTCGTAGCAGGAATCTGGGTTGACCGTCCCTCGCAAGGATGGCCCGCTCTATGTGTGCTTCCATTATGGCTAGAGGACCCCGAGACAGCAGCATTGATTGCTTCATTCCGAGGAAGGATTAACCCCTACCATGATATCCTCCTCATGAGCTTCTCTCAGCCCCCCGGCGGCCTGAAATTCCTTCAGTTCTAGAGCTAGCTTAGTCGGCTAAAGTAGAATGAGCCAATGACATTAATTGCTTCTCCTTTGGGGAGGATTGACCATTGCTGCTCTCTCTTGAGGCCTTTTGTCTCCAGAATACTCTGGGGGGTCTTGTCGCTCAGTTAAGTTGCCTCCGTTCCGGAGGGATTTACCACCGCTTCTTACCACCTCCTCTCCTCAAAAGTAACCTTGAAGCATCTGTACCTGCCTACGGCTCAACTCTTCCTTATGCCGACTCCAGGCTCAGGCTGTGAGTACGGGGCATGATGCGAGTTGATTCGTCCTCCGGTTCAGGTGGTGCTCCCTTTGTTGTCGTGTTTTTTTTTGTTTTTTTTTTTCTGGAAGAATGAAGGGATTTTCTGCGAGATATATGCAGGGGCAGTTGAGATGATAGAGAAACAGATCCCGGCAGAGCTGTGTTTCTCTGCTCTCTGCGCTCAGTTGTCTTCTCCAGCCTGGAGTTATCTTTGCATCTGCATACAGCTCTGCTGGCTTTTATGGAAACTGAAATTCTATTCATATTTACTGACCCTAGGATTCTCATGCTTGCTCCAGCTGCTATCATTCATGCTCCAGCATGTGGAGCCAGAGCTACGTGCCGGGGCTTTGCAGCAAGTATCTTTCCTGTGTAATGCTGCGGAAGAGGACGGAGATGCAGAACGGCGTAACCTATATGGTAATGGGAAGAAGCGATTAGTTGGTGAGGCTTCAGAGGCATCCCATAGGTCAAATGGCACTGCAGAAGAAATATCAGACAATGATGCCGGAGAAGACCAGCACCAGGAGATGCTTGCCACTGCTATTGTCAGATCTGTATGGGAGGAGATCTGTTCTATTGCAATGAATGACCCTCTGTTTGGACTGCGCTTGCAGGCTATTGCACTTCTTGAGGTAATCTCAGAGCTTGTCATTCTTCTCCGCCTTGCAATCCTTCCTTTGAGAAATCGGCAGTGGGCTCGAAGTTGAAAAAGCTTCCGTCTTCACCCGAATAGAATGCCCGGTCATTATAGTCATATTTGGTGCAATTTTCAGTCTGCATACAGCGATAATGACGGGGCGTTCTTTTTTTTTTTTGGATTCTTTCCTTTTTTATATTAAGCAAAAGGAGGCCGGGAATCCCTCCACATCTCAACCCAAAAAACTGGGGCCATTACCCAGATTCGTTCTATTCGGGCTTGAAGTTGAAAAAGCTGCTCCACAAACTCAGCCCAGCGTCTTTAGTTGCCATCTTCGTTCATCTCTGGAAAAGGAAAATCTTGTGACAACGATTTTTTTTGTTGTTGTTGAAAATGTCCATGTTGTAGTAGAGGGTGGATGCTAGGCCTCGGGAGGTGCCGGTCGTCGTATTCAACCAGTGAGGGGATCGGATGGGTTGTGCCAACCCCGGGGACAGTCTTTGGTGAATATGTTCAATGAGGTATTGGCGCGTGGGAAAATCCGTTTGCAGTCGTTATAAGTTACAACCCATGAAAAACAAATAGGGGGGTGCCCTATCTTCTGCACTACCCAAATTAAATACAAAGCATACTTGCAAGTGCACCTCGTGCGCGAGTTTCCCGACGTCCGG